AAGTGGACAAAAATAAAAAATAAAAAAAGCAGGTCGACAAAAATAAAAAGCACGTATTTAATGTGTCCATAACATGTGGTAGTGAATACCTAATAAGTGGTACTACTACAATACAAAGGTGGTACGACTTTTCGATAGGTGTGGTACTTGTTCTTGGAAATGTTGAGATTGAAATAATACATTTTTGCGTAACAAAACCTGATATCAGTCCATCTAAAAGTGGTACTACTCAAAAGCAAATGCGGTACTATTTTTCATTCGAAGTGATACTACATTTGTAATTGTGATTTTTTTTATCCTTCGTGTCTACCATGTCACGTGGATCGTTAACGCGTGATTTGTATGAAAAATAATGGAAGTTAAAACATATAGGTAGAAATTGAAGTTAAATTATAACATATATGTATATACTATGTATTAAAAATACTATATAATATAAAAAAAAACCATTCAACTTAATGTTTTACAAATAATAAATAAAAAAAATCATTCAACTTAATGTTTTACAATAATAATAAAAAAAAAAAAACATTCATTACATCATTAATGGCATTGTCGTAATTCAACTTAAACTTAGCAAAATCTTCTTGGACTTCCGCCGCCTCCGGACATTCAACAAGTAACTGCTGCATGGTCGATGTAATGCCCAAAAGACGGTCCACCCACTAAAAAAATAAAAGAATAAAAAAATATGACTAAAATTTATTAAAAAAAAATTATTGTAATGAAATAACATTAATTAAAATTTAGTAACCAACTTACATAGGCGGTATTGACACGCGTAGGGACCTCGTTCTCGTCCGGTAATTCCTCGCCCATGAGAGTCGGATGGGAAACCCGACTGTACCACTACAGGTAATCCTCAGTCACCTACCCGCGATCCTGTGTGGTGGGGGTCAACATGCCGGTGTTGACCGTCCCAGAAATCGGGAACTGGGTCCAGGCACCTACTGCAGCAGCCTCAGAATGCTCAACCCTGTAGTTCCTAGACTCCCAATCACGTACTGCACTAATTGGCGGGTATGTAGGGGGACGGACAATCTGGACATACCCCAACTGACGCAGACACCGCGCAGGCAAGTACGACTCGACGACATCGCGGTATCGAATCAATCCGCTATAAAGAGTCCTCGGCTCTATCGCATCTGGGCTGGAGCTGCTGTATGACAACCATTGCACCTGTTCACAATTGCATAAAAGCATTTATAAAAATAATTATATTATTTTAAATAACTGGTAACTAAATTTAAATCAAATAACTTCACGTACATCGGAGGCAATGAGTCTGTCGAAGCGCTGACGGATGGCTGTGAGCCGATCGTCTAACCGTGTCGCATTCCCTACGCTCCACGAGCGTGATCGTGCGAGACAGTCAGGACCGATGGGTAGACGCCCCCGGGGTCGGAAATCGGGAAAATACTCATATATCCAAGACTGCACAAGAGTCAAGCAGCCCGACATCTGGGCAGAGTCCCCTCGGCTGGCAATACCTAGCTGTCTGTACATGTATGCCAGAGTAGCCGATCCCCATGAGTAACCCCCAATCAAATCCAAGCCGTCGAGCACCTATTGCAGGTGCTTGGGGGTCACTCTACTATCACTCTTGTCGACGAACAATGTGGTAGCCAGCATCACCCACATCCAGGCACCCGCCTCATCCCTAGCCGGCCGGCCTTTCCCCCTGAATGCCCCCGAAATGGCGGCTTCGGACACCGAACCTGTTGGGATCTGTGAGGATCTCGTTATGTACAAATCCCGAATTCAATAGCAAACGTAAACCTATGCGCAGCAGATCTAAAGGTTTGACGTAGAGAACTTACGACTTAAAATTTATGTAGATCTGGTTGACCACGAACGGTTGACCGCAATTGATTGACCGCAACACGCGTCTTGGATTGCACGAGCGGGGCCGGTCCGGTTCGGTTCGACCGGCCCCCGATCTCGTCCATTTTTTAAGCCGTCCGGTCGTCGGTTCCGAACGGCCCCCTCTCGACCGGACAACTTCTCGGCCGTCCGGAACCGACGACCGGACGACCGCCGCGTGTCCGGAAGCGCCGGCCGGACGCCGGCACAGATTCAAAAAAAAAAATTTTTAAAATATTTCATGCATAAAAAAAAAAATTACCTGGCTAGATAAGTATGCTTTGCCCTTGCCGTAGATATTTTTCGACACTCGAATAGCTCGTTGAAAGTTCGGGAATTTAGAGAGATAGAGAGTTTAAAGAGATAGAATCAGAAAAAGGGTAAAGGGCAAAAGAGTAAAAAGGAGGGGGGCGGTGACCAGTAAAAAGGGGCGGTGAATAGCAATTGAGTTTTCTTACATATATACATGAGAGTAGAAATGAAACTCTTTAAATAATAAATTAATCTTATTTCAAATACATCATAATCTAGCTAAAATTCAATCAATTAACTTAAGTATCTTATAAATCCTTGGTTTTAGGTTTGTATTTTAGCTTAAATTGTCTTTCATTTTGTTTTGTGTGCCAAGTTAGATTTGATGAAGCATTGTAAACTATTTTTGTTGAGTAAATCAACACATATTATATAAATATATTTAAAATATTGACCCCAACGGCCAACATGCATAAGATTAAGAGCCCACATGAGTTCACCTACTCAATCACTCACACAGCAATTTTTGGAAATGTTGTAAAGCCAAGAATCTTTCTACTTGTGGAAAGTCTGACTTTCATTCCCAAGGAATACTCTCCATCATATAGGCATGGGCATAGAGTATTTTAATTATTATTCTTTTCTTTTTTTTTTTCTTCCAAGTTCCAATTTTAATTTGTTTTCTCTTTGGGGAAACAATCAAAGAGAAACAACATTATAACACTTTGCAACATTTTTCCAAAAAATTTAAGAGGCATTTTTTAATTTGTCATATATAAATATTTTTTCACACTAGCAGATAACTCGTAGCTAAATGCTTTAACAGATAGTGTATAGTTGATTAAATTAACTAATCGTAGATAGGTGATTATACAAAGTGTTGGTAGATAATTAACTGCTTGAATGTAGAAACAACTAATTTATAACGTTCTATTCCAAGAAACTCATATTACGAGTATTTTTGAAATTAGTTTATTGGATTCAAAAAGTTATTTTAAACCCCTAACTACCCAATAATTAAATCAATTTTTTTATTGATTAAACATATAATTAATCTCAAACTTGTAATTTAGCTCTATTAAATCAACTAATTAAATCAACTAAGATCAATGTAATTTAAAATATTAAGAGAATTGGAAGTCACATGTCATGTTGCTATAGGCCTTCAGCTGTCAATGTATATAGGAATATATTCTATGGAGACGATTATTAATTATACTTCCAGTGGAAGGGCCACCAAATGAATGGCCCCAAACAAACAAACACGTACGAACAAGACTTTCAAATAAGCCAACCACCATATAGTTTTCTAATTACATTATGTAGACCGAATCGAATAATTGAAAGGACACAATTTTTCAAGTGCATGAACATACCACGCATACGACAATAATAATAATAATAATAATAATAATAAATAATAATAATAATAACAACAATTATAGCAACAAGAAGGAATTATAATCAGTGGATTTGTTAAATCAAACGAGCCATTTGTTTTGGTTGATAAACGAGTTGAGTTTGAGCTCGTTTAGTTAAAATGTTTGAAAATAGAAATTTTTGATATAATTTTTTGTAGTTCGGTTTACTGAGGCTCGAATCGGATTTGTTTATATTGATCAAAAGCAATCTAATTCGAATTTGTTTCGTAAACGATTCAAGCTCGACTTAACTCTATAATGGCTCGAGTTCGATCTCGTGTATCAGGAACTTTGACTTTGACTCTGAGCCATTTTTATGCCTCAGCAGACCTCAAAGAAATTAAATATAGAGCCTATTGAGTTGTGTATATATAGTATAATAACAATCAAGTAGTTAAGTACAATGAACCTTTGGGCAGCTGAACTTTTAATTTTATTTTATTTTCCTTGATCATACATAATTAATCCCACAACCTAGTTTATAATTAACACTAATCACCACGTGTCAGCATGGCAATATTTTTTTTTTCACTATTCCAATAATTTATTAGGAAGAGTGTGTGCAAGAATTGCTTGGGAAAATGAATGAATTTGAGTTTTGATGGCGCAATCCGTAATGACTTAAGAGATGGAACTATATTGGTATTAGTTGATGTAGTTAGTTTTTAATAAATTAATAGTTGAATATATTGGAGTATTTAATGAATTAATTTTTGGTATTAATATTAAATAACACAAAAATATTTAAATTCCAAGCAATATGTTGCAACAAAACTTCAATGCCAATTGTATATCTAATGGACATTCAAATTGTAATTCTTGTAACTCTAATGAACATTCCAATGTTATAACTTTTATTGCACAGTTTTTTGTTGAAATTTGGACGATATGAAATTTTTGTTGTAATTCTATAAATTTTGAATGAAGTAATCGAGTAATTAATATTCACAAATAACTCATTTAAAGTTTTAATTTATTTAAACGAATCCATCAGTTGGCTCATTTATTATTTAAAGCACCCGACTCGACTCGAATAATACTTTACATGAATTTACACTTACACCCGTCACCCAACAATGACATTTTGTCATTTTTCTGATTTTGATTTGATTAGGCAAAGATTAAAAAGAGTTTATTGAGTCAGATTGTGGGCCCCACTTCACACCTTCCAACCAATCATCCACTGACACCGTTTTCCTGTCCCATTCTCTGTCTTTGTAGACTTTTTTGTTTTTATTATTTGTTTTTTAATTGTTGTTAAATAAAGCCAGTCGTTCTTGAATTCAGCTTTAACTCAATCTTTTAATGTTCGAAAGTCTCGTTTTGTTGAAGCTTGTGTCCGGTTTATTAATGTTAAGCAAGTTGAACTCAAGTTGGTTTGAATTTGATTTAGCTCGGCAAATGACCAAACTCGAAATATAGTATCAGAATCTCGAGTCCAGCTCGATTTTTATTTATTTATTTATTTATTTCAGTTCTCTTTAGCATCATTTTCAGCAAACACAGCAAAGTACAAAAACCACAGTTAAAAAATAACTTGTGAAGACATAATCGATTTGGACCTTTATCATTTTGTCCCCTTCGTGATAATAAATATTTAATTTTTTCTTCATATTTATTGGAAAAATCCTCTGCAATTATACAGTAGTCGTGTCGATTTAGTTACGAATTGTGCCATCCTTATCTTCCTCCCATCAGCCATTGCTAGACAGCTTTGATTTTGTTCTTTTGCTTCATATTTTATATTATTTAATCTTTCAAAGGTCCCCTTCATCTTTATTTTCTCCTCTGTACCTTTTTTTTTCCTCTCTGCTTCAAAACAAAGATCTGAACTTTTTTCTAGCCATCTTTCATATCTCTCCAGTTTCTTGATTGCCCAGCAACTGCTCGACGTATTGCCTGACCGAACCCAAGCATAAAAATCACTTTTTTTTTTTCCTTTTCCATTTTCACTCATTTTTCACCTTTTTTTTTGGTCTGGGGCTTTCCCTTTTGATGAACTAGACACGATGATGAACATGAACTATGATGAGTTGGCACTTGCCTCCAGCTGGCTTTTTGAAGAGAGCTCGGTCTCGAATTGGACTCCAGAGGAGAACAAGAGATTCGAAAACGCGTTAGCCTTGTTCGACAAGGACACACCCGACAGGTGGCACAATGTGGCGGCTATGATCCCAGGTAAGACGGTGGGTGACGTCATCAGGCAGTATCGGGAGCTAGTCGATGATGTCGGCGATATCGAGGCTGGGCTGATCCCGATTCCGGGGTATTCTGGTAATAATTCTCTTGCCCTGGAGTGGATGAGTGGCCATGGGTATGTGGGCTTGAAGGGCTTTTACGGGCCGGGCTGGAAGAAGGGCCCGTCGGGCCGGTGTGCCGATCACGAGCGCAAGAAGGGGGTGCCTTGGACTGAAGAAGAACATAGGTTGGAATTGTTTTTCTGCATTTTTATTTTTATTTTTTTTTTCAATTTTTTTTATGAGAAAGAATGAAAATCTTGGTCAGAAAGGAGAGTTTTTTATTTTTTATTTTTATTTTTATTATTAACAAATTATAGTAGAAATTCTAAGAATTAATGGTTGATAAATAAAACAAATTTTCTCTCTTAGTGGCTTGGTATTGGAAATGATCATATTTGAAAACCTCCCTAGATTAAATAAATGCAAAAATGCATTTTCAGTCCTGTTGATTTAAATTCATATCAATTTTAGTCTTAAGGTTTCACTGTTTTGCCTTTTGGTCATGTGATTTATTATATTGCTGACTGACATTGCTATAAAAATTTAAATTACAAGACTTAAATTGTTAATCGAAATTCTGGAATTATGGAAATTTGTTGCAATTTCAATTCTCAATGGACTGAAATTGCAGCGAAATATTAAATAACAGTACCAAAAGGCGATATATTAGAGCCTTGAGGCTAAAATTGCTATGGTGTTAATAAAATTGCTTTAAACCAGCAGGACTAAAAATGTAATTTTGCCTTAAATAAATTGATAGTATATGTTTTTCTTGTATTGCCTTGTTCTTGGTTTTGTGTGGGATTTATGTATGGGTGTTAATTGCCATTCTGCATTATTTTCCTCTTCTATTTGGTGATGGTAAAATCAACAGTTGATATGTTTTCTTTTTAAAAATTTGCAGACAATTTCTATTGGGACTCAAAAAATATGGTAAAGGCGATTGGCGAAACATATCTCGAAATTTCGTGACCACACGAACCCCGACACAAGTCGCGAGCCACGCCCAAAAGTACTTCATTCGACAGCTCTCGGGTGGCAAGGACAAGAAGCGGTCGAGCATACACGACATCACGACCGTTAATATCGACGAGATCAAATCTCCTTCGCCCGAAAAGAACGGGCCCCATGGAGCAGTCTTGGGCTTCAGCCCGACCAACAGCAATTTAGTCACGGCCCATTTTCAAGAAACCTGTGGGCTTGGCCCACACGATCACCATCATCTGCAGGGTGGCATCAATAGGATGTCTCGGTTAGAGCCTCATCGTGGTACGGTTTTCCAGATGCATCCACACTAGAAATGTTTCAACAAGTTGCCTCGATTTTTGTTGGTATACTATACGCTAATGAAAAAGGTCTCTTCAAGTTAGTTTCATTAGAAATGTACATATTTACTTCTGTTCGCGGCAAAATTGGTAATAATTTGCACGAAAAGTTGTACGGAAACAATGTTGTAATAGTCCTTTCAAGCAAATCAAGATATCAAAGTCATTGCAAGTATTTGGTGTTTGTTCGTATAGAATTTGTCGAGTGTTTCTAGTGTTGAATTATTGATTGACAAAACACTGAATGAGTTTTGTCAATTTCTGTTTACACTGCAGAGAGATCGACAATCTTTTCATAAGGAATGGAGATAGATCAACATACTGTTTTGAATATTGATCGCAATTTTAGGTTCATGTAAAGGCAGACAAACTACTCTTTACTGTATTTAGTCGACCAACGGAATACGTATAAATATTTTTTATGTATAACATATAGCATATTTAGTATTGATATTACATTGTTTTAATTTACTAATGTTTTAACTTAATATATATGTCAGTCAAGTGTATATCAAATATCACTTTCATTTAAATCATTATATCATTCCATATTTTTCCCTGGCACACGACATAGTAATAAATACATATATAATTTTACTATATTGTAAAGGTGTATAATCGATTAACATTTTTCAAAATTTAACATACTTTAAAGGTGTATAATCTGTTAACAATTTTCTGTAAATGCATGTCAAATTTTAAAAAATAAGTTGTATTTACTGTATCCAATAAAATAAACGATTTGTTCATTTTATTTTTATATATTTCGATAGCAGTAAGTAATTTTAATTGCTATTGATCGTCGAATTTAAGAAAATCAGTAGATCAAACAAAAAAAACATTAAAATAAATAAGAANAGTTATATTTATGAAGTTTATAACAATTAGATAAAAGGCACGCACGAATAAGTGTTTGTGTGAAGTTATAAAATTAATTATAAACCAACAACTTGTATGAATAAAAAATCAAAATAAATATTAAAAATATGAATTACAATATTCAAGAAAAAATTGCATTGACCTAGCAACGTTCGTGCAAATAAAAATTGAATAGTTGTTACAACTCAATATAAAAGTCTTACTTTTCTATATATAATTTATTTTAAAATATTTGTATAAATATTTTGAAAATATGATAAAAATGTTCATGGATGTTGAATTGGATTTATTAACATGTTTGAAATTTTCACCATCCTTTTTATAACATTCTATTTATATAGATATAACTTTTTTGAAAATATTTACGTGAATAATTTTGAAATAATTTATAATTGTTTTAATAATCATACGATTGAATTTGTATCATGGTAAATCAAGATTTTTTTGTACATTATAAATTAATTTTTTTTATACATAATAAACCAAGTTTTTGTAGTTATATTTTATATGCAGAATAAATTTATTAAAAAAATAAAATCACAATGTGATTCTAGACTCCACATTATGTATAAAATTAAGTTGAGGAAAGACTGTGATGTTTGGAAGGAGGGCGGATACTTTATTTTTTATTTTGTTCTTCGATTTGTTCTTCGAAAATCGTTAGATGCGGCCCAATGTTTGATATAAATAAGTATGTGTCCAATTTTTGTTATAACTAAGTATGTAATGAATTTGTAATCGAGTGTATATTATGTTAATTTGTAATCGACTATATTATGTTGAAAAAGTATGTTCTTGATCGATTTTTAATTTTAGTATATAGTTATGTTGAAAAAGTATGTTGCTAGTCGATTTTTAATTTTAGTATATAGTTATCGTGCTATTATTTATTTTTGTATTGTATAAAAAATAGAGAAATAGGCACATTAGTAATAACACTGGCGGATACTATTAAAACATCAATACAGTCCATATTCAAAAGATAGAAATCAGACAATATTAAAATTCAATTACAGCACAATTATATATCTCCACATCGATCATTAGCAATTTGTATGACTGTTTTTGTGGTGGTGGTATAGTTGCCTTCAATATGCGTTCTCCAAAAATTCATTGGAATTGGTTGCATCTAATTAATGACCATGTTTTAAAAATAAGGAGACAGATCCAAGTCTAGTAATTTGCGCTTGTAATATAATTGCATGGTTATTCTATATAATAATTGCTCACCAATCGTGCACGTTCAATGTGTGTTCGCTTGATATCTAGTGTAAAGAGAGATATTCAAGCAACCTTCCACAACTACTTTGAGCATGCACCAGAACTTCAAAATTAAATAAACTGTCAAAAGGTATCCTATGAAATGTGAATGTCTTCAGTATGAACGAAAGTCTGTCATCAGTCGACTACAGTAATGATGTTGTAGGAAAGGACTGTATGAACTGCAGAGTGTTGGAGATATTGGCTGAAGCAATGTGAGAGCAAACTTATTTAGTTAGTTTTTGTATGAGTGATGTATATTTGTAAGATAGCAATAGATAATAGAGCATTCTGAAGATTTGAAAATGATGGCACCAAGTAGGCTTGTTGTGGATTGAGAATAATCTTAAGGAATAATAAGAGTCTAAAAGTGAAAACAAAAATTTCTGAACAATTGTATAAAATTCTATATTAATAATGCTAAGTGAGCTTATCCTAATTGTGTTTAAAATATGGTCTTGTTCTAAAATCTATTTGAATACTTATAAGATTAATCAAGTTTGGATCAGAGGGAATAGTATTTGATAGGACAGAAATTTTCCTTACAGGGGTACAGTATGGTCATGCTTCTCTTTCAACCAAACAAAGCTTTGTTGTGAAAGGTATGCTATATGAGTTTTCAGTTTCTTGTCTTCACGTGTGTTATAAAAAAATGGATTAACTGCGTCCAATACTCCGAACCGTCCACAAATGCTTATGTTTAATTGGTGTAGCAGCATATGAAAGTAACTCAATATTGGGTTTTTAATATTGTTGTAGTGTCACGAATATTGTTTTATTCGATATGTGATCTAGAAAATGCATTGGAATTGGCTATGCGAAAAGAAAAAGTATATGAAGATAACTAAATAAGTTTCAAATGAAATATTTACTCGTGAGAATCGCCAAAAAGACAAAAGAAAAAAGGAAAATAAGGAGACAAGTTAAAACCTGTTTTATGTATATAACTCTGGAAATTATGTACATTTTATTGAAGATTTACAAAATTAAGATGTTCTAGTTTTAATGTTATTTACAAAACCTAATGTTGTGGTTCAATCTAATTACACACACCAAATGAAATACAATTGGGTTTTCGTAATCTATTTTGTTTTTGTATTCATTTAGAGTCAAAGTAGGACAATGAGGCAACTGTAAATTGAACTATGCCATGAGGATCTCTTGTTCTCGTATGCCCAGTAAAATACTGTTCATCTGAAAATTAATTATATAATATAATTTAGGTGATAGTTTTAAACAACCAATAACATCAAATGTTTCATGTTTTACAACAAACAAGATACATGGTGACAAGGACAGTCCGATCATGCTACAACAAGTCCACTATGCCAATAAAAGTTGCAAATCCATTCAATTGGACCTAATATTGGCCAAATACAGGATAAATGAAAATAAAAAGGCCTCGAAACTTATAGGATGTCTCGGTTAGAGGATCATCGTGGTATGGTTTTCCAGATGCATCCACACTAGAAATGTTTAACAAGTTGAAATTAATATCCATTCAATTTAGATAGTATTATGGTTTTCCAGATGCATCCACACTAGAAATCCATTCAATTTAGATAGTGTTATGTTATAAATTAAAATTTATTATCTTATAGTTAGAATTATAAATTATAATTGATTATCTTATAGAATTTTATTATTATTATGTTAGAGCTTAGAAATTATCATGTTATATAACATAATACTAATTATCTGTAAGAAAAATATATAACATTTATAGTTATTTTGTCTACTAACAAAAATATACATTAAATAATATAACAATTTATAGTTATATTTAAAAATAATACTTTTTTCATAAATAAATATTTATTTATAATACTAGTTATAAATAGTTTTACAACATAATCAATTCTAATATATAACATAATAATTTCTAAGTTCTAACATAAAAATAATAAATTCTATAAGATAATTAATTCTAATTTATAACAAAATAATTTATAAATTCTAACATAATAATAAATTCTAATTTATAACATAATAATTTTTAAATTCTAACATAATTTCTATAATAATAAAATATTTGATTTGTAAAAAAAAAAGAATCAAAAAAAGAAACTGCCCGGCCGGCCAATATTTTTTTTTCTTTGAGTGTTTTGGAAAATTTTAGGGGCAAAACGGTCCAGGGAGGTGTGGAAGCGGTAGGTAATAAAAGGGAGGCGATATTTAATAATTCACTATTGATCGGTATAGTAGTGGTAGTATGACTTCTTGGGCTCTCAATTTTAGGTCCATGTAAAGGCAGGCACGCTACTCGTTATTGTATTTAATGTTGTTTCATATTTTCTCCTATTTTTATTATTTGTCATCCTAGCTTAGTTGATCATTTGTTAAATAAATATCGTTTTGACTATTTTGTACATATTTTCCATCATTATCTTAATCTAACTAATAAATACACTACGTTCTTTTCCTATTCACTCTCCATCTTTTCTCAAAACATCAATCTTTATCCTCATTAATGAGAGTTATTATTGGCAAAAAAAATATTTTTAATTATTGTGCAACTTCTCAAAACGACCTTTATTAAAAAATAAGAGAGAGTATTAAGTCTTAGTGATCGAAAACGTATAAATAATTTTTACGTATAACTGTTAGCATATTAGTATTGATATTACATTGTTTTAATATAATAATGTTTTAAATTAATATATATGTCAGTCCAGTGTATATCAATTATCACTTTCAGTTAATTCATTATATCATTCCATATTTTTCCTAGCACACGACATATTTAATATATATATATATATATATATATATATGTATAAATTTACTATACTGTAAAGGTGTATAATTGATTAACATTTTTCAAATTTAATATACTATAAATGTGTATATAATCGATTAACAATTTTCTTTAAATGCATGTCAAAATTTAAAAAATAAGATGTATTTTACTGTATCCAATAAAATAAACGATTCGTTAATTTTGTTTTTATATATTTCGATAGCAGTAAGTAATTTTAATTGCTATTCATCGTCGAATTTAAGAAAATCAGTAGATCAAATAAACAAACATTAAAGTAAATAAGGAAACAACGTGCAATTTATAATGCTTTTTTATTTTTTAGTTTTAATAAAAAACTACAGTTAAAGTAAATATGAATACAGTGTGCACTTTATATGAAGCCAGTGTGCACCTCATAATGCATTATTTGTTTTTTAGTAAAAAGCTGCAGTTATATTTCTGAAGTTTATAACAATCAAATAAAAGCACGCATAAATCAATAATTTGTATGAATACAAAGTGCCTGGTTGGGAGCACTTCTTTAAGATATGGACTTATCCAAAATGGGCTTCTACAAAATGGACTTCTTCAAAGGTCTCCTATCATTTACTTTTACACAATGGACTTTTTGAAAAATATCTTATCCATAAGTTTATTCTTAATTTAGCACCAAACATAAATATTTATCTAAATGGGCTTTTGCATCCAAAAGTCCATTTGAAAAGTGTTTTCAAACAACTCAAAAATCAAAACAAATAAGTATTAATCCTGTGCCCATGCACATGCGCACATGTTACCAAAAATAAATAAATATTATATAAAACTTTTAATTAAAATAAAATTTTATATAATAGTATGTATCACAATTAAAATTAAATCGTTATATTAATGACTCTTAGTTAGATTTTTATACTTCAATGAAAAATAACACAATAATTTTTTTGTTATAATTACCTCATCCCAAAAATAGCGGGAAACGAAAAAATTTAGCATTAATAGGATAACCCCTAAATCCCTATATATATATATATATATATATATATATACACACACACACTAAGTTTTAGTGTGAGAACCGTGAGAACCGCTATTTTTAATTGTGCGTAGTGCTATGATTGATTCTGTTTGGTGCTATTTTTAACCAAGATGAATTTTATTAAAAATAGCAACACAATTTCTGTTAGCATTTGTAAAAATGATAGCATCATCTAATATGAAAAATAGCATCGTACACAATTAAAAATAGCATAAAAAGTGGTTCTCACGTTTCTCACACCAAGACTAGTTTTTATATATAGATATTTAAAATTATGAATTCGTGCACTTTAAAAATATACACTATTCAAGAGAAATATTGCATTGACCTAGGAATAGTCATGCAAATAAAAATTGAATAGTTGTTACAGCTCAATATAAAATTCTTACTTTTCTATATATAAATTATTTTAAAATATTTGTATAAATATTTTGAAAATATGATAAAATATTTTCATGGATGTTGAATTGAATTTATTAACATGTTTGAAAGTTTCACCATCCTTTTTATAACATTCTAATTTTATAGATAATTTTTTTAAAATATTTACGTGAATTTTGAAATATTTTATAATTGTTTTCATAATCATAGGATTGAATTTGTATCCATAATAAATCAAGATTGTGTGTACATTATAAAACAAATTGTTTTATACATAATAAACCAAGTTTTTGTAGTTATATTTTTATATGCAAGGTAAATTTATGAAAAAAATAAAATAACATTGTCATTCCTCGACATTATGAATATAATTAATTTAAAGGAGTTCATCTTTCTTTTAAAATCACATAATGTCAATGAGCCGAGTTAGTTTTCTCAAAAGTGTACATTATATATAAAAATTAAATCTTTTTAAATTTAAAAATATCTTTAAGATAAATAAAAAAATACTTATTTAAATATAATAGATATACATAAATTATTATTAGTTAATTTAAGTATTCGAATATTTTAAATTAACTTAAAATCTAATTAACAAATTTTTTTATGTAAATTTTATCATATAAAATATTATATATGTTTAAAAGTACTAATAATTTAAATTTAATTCAATGACCAAATTTAAATTATTAGTACCAGTCGCTTGTCAAGACCGGTCCGATTTCATAACATTGATAATTTCACTTGGATATCTCTTTTATAAATACTAGTTTTTAACCCGTGCATTTGCACGGAAAACAATATAATAGAACAAAAAATAATAAAAATATATAAACAATAGTAAAAATCATAATATAATCATTGAAAAAATGTTATAAGAAATAATAACTAAATATTGTTAAACAATTCTTTATATACAATGTTTGTGGTTTTTCTATCAACAGAATTTCCATCACTACGGATCATATCTTCAAATTAAGACATATAATGGTTTTAATTGTTTAAATAATTATTGTATTTTGTACTATAGATCATATAGGAAATTTAAAAAAAAAATACTAAAAAAATACCAGCAAAATATTACAAAATAAATATGTGCCAAATATTTAAGACATTTGAACAAAATGACAATTTTTGGGCCATAAAGAAATATATTGATTGAATGATAAAAAAAATCCAAATTAGAAGTCCACTTAATTTTTTAGGGTAGCCAAAATCAAATATAAAACAGGTCAATGATAACATGACTTCGCTTCTCTCGTTATTCACTCTGTCTGAAACCCTAATCCTTAACCCGATATTACGACAAACTCGGCGAGATTCAATACAAAACAACTGTTTTACCGGAGAAGTTAAAAAAAAAAAAAAAAGACATCCGATAAATGTTGTTTTTGTGACCAACAGTAGTGATCGAAAAATAAAATATTCGTCCCGATTTCTTAATCTGTGTTGCTAAATCTTAACAAATCGGTCAAAATCGGGCGATAATATTACACATCTATGATGAGTCGAAATATTTTTTATTAAACGTAGTTTCTATTTTTTATTATTTTCAATGATCTGTGTCGTTTTTCGAAATTCTTTGTGAATAAGCTTCAAGATATATCATATTTTATACATAATTCTAAATTATTTAGATGTTTTTCAAAATCGTTTTTCGAAGAGAACATGACATTGGTCGAACTTTTTCAAACTTTTATGTATTTTGTTCAGGGTTTGAAAAAATATGTAAGTTTCTAACAGTTCTGTTCAACTCTACTAACAAATATATAGGTAAGTTTATAACATATCTGTTTATAATATACATATGTAACTTTTATGTATTTTGTTCAGATTTTGAAACCTAAATAGTTCAATTTTTTGTCGTCTTTCTCATCATATCAGTAAGTGAAACTTTGCTAACACTTGTTCAAAATCGCTTTTCGAAGTTGTTCAAAGTCTTTTGCCGAAGTTTTTTAATTTTTTTAGTATTTTGTTCAAAATTTGAAAATATTAGGTAAGTTTATAACAAATCTGTTTAGATATATTTATCGCATATTAGGAATTTCTTGTTTAATGTTTAAAAGAATCTGTAGGAATTTTTATTTTTAAAACTTTTACGCAAAAAAATCGATTTTAATATAAAGGCAGATGTCTTGGTAAAAGTTGAATGTATTGATAATGATAGGAAATCAAATTATTTTTCTTTCTATATTGTATAGTGTTCAATAATGTTCCACATAATTTGCTGTGTTTTTAATTTTGATTTTTTCATATAGATTTGACTTTTTTTATTGATTATTAATTATGCTTGATATTTCTATATTATGCAACAATCTGCTATTACATATAATGCCTTGTCAATTCTCATTCTTTGACTTTGCCAATTTTCGTTTAATATGACTTTTCTGTTGCTGAAAGTATGTTTTTAATGCATTAAAATATTGATGTTTTGGATATGTTTTGATGCTATAATCATGCAGAAATTTGTCCCGCCACTTTTTTCTTAAAGAGAAATTGTTTAATGAAAATTAATCATATTTATATTTATAATTGTGAAATAATATTTTTTTTCACGGCCAACAGTTATTTTTTTTAATGAAAAATATGAGATAATTTATTCAACACACTTTTTAATTTATAAAAAAAGAATGCTGATTGCGATAGTCAAATATGCAGAAATCATGCATTTTATTAAATAGTAGTAATATAAAATATTTTATTATTACTACCAAATAGAAAGTCAAAGATAGTTAATTTTGCACTATTAATTATGATCATATGGACTTTTTTTATACATATGTTTTTTCAATGAACTTTTTAAATGATAATATTGACAATATAGACTTTGCTATAATAATTATATAGACTGTGTTATAATAATAATTTATTTATGTAATTCATTATTTTTTTTTTCAATTCATCTTATTATGTGTATAGTCTAAGTTTATAAATTATATGTCATTTAAATGTATCTATACTACTAATTTATAAGGTTTTACCATTTGGGAGCTAAATTTTTAATTTTAATTATGAAACTAATTTTTCTTATCATTTTGTAGTTATATGTTTGATTGAGTATGGCTGGAAATTAAATTACAAAAAAAAAATAATTTCATTTTGTATATTGTAATGTAACATGATATGTATTATAATGTTTGTAATTAATACATTTGTTAATATTTCTTATAACTTTAATTGTTTATTCAATTCATAATGAAATAAAAAATAATAATATATAGTTTCTGCACAACAATAATGACTATCACGTTTATATATATATAAATGAGAATAAGAAACATAAATGTGGGATTAACTAAAAGAAATTTTTTTAATTTAGTCATTAACTAATTAAGTTTAACTAAAAGAAACCTTCTTAAATGTGAGATTAATGAGTAATTAATTAAAAAAATGTAACTTCTTTTGGAGGAAAAATGAAAATGTTTTTATTAAATGTTTTATTAAATAAGGTTAGCTAGCAATTATATATATATATAGATTTCATCAATCTTTGTGGATATCTATATATATATAATAAGAATTACTATTTACCATAAATAGTAACTAGAAATTTTAGGACAACATTAATTGCTTACTATTTTTGATTTTTCTTTTTAACATTAATCCTTATCATCATTTGACTTAGGCGGCCTAAAAAGGTGGAATTTAATTTGAAAAATTCAAATCAAATCGTGTCCTAAAAATTTGTATTTTTGTTAAATCCCTCATAATACAATCTCATACCAATACCATTTTTAAATTTATTTTCTTTAAACATACAACAGAAACAGTATCCACGTACACAATTTATGCTTTCCTAAATTTAAGTAATTTGTTGGTCCCCAAATTAGTGAAGATTCCTTGCATGAAGGATTTATACAATTTTGAGAAAATTCGGAACTTGGTATAAATCCATTACATACGATATTGGTTTTGGAATTTGAATTTTCAAATTTCTTCCATATACGTACGCAACTATTCACTTCCTAAAATTAATTAATTTGTTGAATCAAATACGATATTGTGGTATTGGTTTTGGAATTTGAATTTTCAAATTTCTTCCATATACATACACAACTATTCACTTCCTAAAATCAAATACGATATTGTGGTCCACCAAAGTCAGTGGAGATATTTTGCATGAAGACTTTTTACAATTTAAAAATATTAGGACTCTTGGTATAAACATTTTGGATAGCCTTTTTTCACAAAATAAATTTGAGATGGATTAGCTAGGAATTTCAAATCAATTCAAATTCATCTTTGATTACAAGTTAAAATTTTCTAAATTTTATTTTAAGAATAAAATTTATGGTTTCAAACTCGAGATAATGAGTTTGTAAATAAATAAATATTTTTTTTATTTTCTAAAATATTTATTAATAAATTATAATGACAATAAATTTTATGATAAAATAATAAATTAAGTATTATACCAGAATATGTAAAACTATTATTTTTTATATTAAAGAATAAATATATATAATAAAATCAAATTTATATTAGTATCAACGTTTTAGCGAGATAATATGTTAATTAATTTACATACTAGAGCTAATAATTAATTTACATACTAGAGCTAATAGGTTGAGGTTTAACGTTATGACTAAAAAATAACGATGATCAAAAGAGGTGTAAAATAGACGATCTAACTCTATTTTTTTAAACCTAATGGACAGGCTATCTGGAAATTCAGACCCGTGCATCGCACGGGCTACGTACTAGTTTAGATTAATACCATACATCTTTATACCTTAAGTCCCGGAGCCATTTTACTTTCAGAAATATGATAGTTTTACACAATAAAAAAAAAGGATATAATAAACACTCTAAAGTCAAAAAATAGTAACCCGAAAAACCGGATCCCACAATCAAATTCCGGCCACCGGAGCCCGAAAAACACGCCTGAACAGCCACTGGAAAGGCCTCACGAACTGGGCTCGCTTTTTCCTCCACAACCAAATAGCCGCATTATATTGCTCGTTTCGTATTTTCCGAGTCGAAGCCCTCCAATCGTACTTCTCCATCTCCAAACGGGCCGCGCGGCCTATAAACTCCCTAAGCTCACGATCCTTCATAAGTGGCCTGAGCTTGCTCAGGCAGTCGTTAAGGTCACCCGGGTTGTACAGATATCCCGTTTTCCCTTGCTGCTCGTCTGGTAAAATGTCCGTTATGCCCCCAGCCCTGGCCGCAACCACAGGGAGCCCTGATGACATGGCCTCGAGCACGACTAGGCCGAGCGTCTCGGATTCCGAGGGCATGACGAAAATGTCCCCGCTGGCGTATGCCTGTGACAGCTCATCTCCGTGGAGCGTGCCCGTGAATACAGCTGGCATGTTCGAAAACATTTGCTCCAGCTCGTCCCTAATGGGGAAAAAAGGGTTAGGGGTAGTTTTGGTATAAGGCGAAAAAAAAAGCTTGTGTTAGACCGTCTGACACAAGTAAATGTTGCACGGTTTTTTTCTTTTAACCTGTACGGGCCATCGCCGATGAAAGCTATACGAGCCTCCGGAAGTTCGTCCATGACCCTGTTTTTCAGACAGTTTAGGAAAATCAAAATGAGAATAATTTTCATATCAGAATATTATATATGTATAGGTATAAGTAAGGTACCGTTTAAGAAAATCCAAACTCTTCTCGACTCCGAGCCGTCCTACGTGAACGATTAGCGGCCTGTCGGGTTCTCCATTGCTGATCTTAACAAGAAACTATTCATTAGCTAATAGTTATTAATATTATAGAGGCTAAATTGCATTTTTAGTACTGCTGGTTTAACGCCATAACAATTTTAGTCGTAAGATTCTAACATTTTGGCTTTCTGTCAACAAATTCTCAATTTTGTATATTTTTTTATTAGCAATGTAAGTCCTATAATTTAAAATTTGTTGCAGTTTCAGTCCTGTAATTTAATAATTTGCTACCAAGAGGCGAAAAGTTGGAACCTTCGGACTAAAATTGCTATTGCATTAAATCAGTAGGACTAAAAATTGCAATTTTTTGCCTGTTATAGATTTTGGCGGTAATCTTGAATTTTCTTGCCTTAATCTTAGTCTCATCTCACGCGAGCGGAAACGCGGATGGAAACTTTCAGAATCGACACCTTTGTTCCAGAGTCGTATCCTATTAGCTGCGAAATTTGCAAACAAAAACAAGAAATAATTACATCAAGCACCAAAAGTTCCCATATTTTTATAGCTGATATTAGTTTGGAAAATGATTTTAAAGAGATTTAAAGATGTTAAGAATTTCACCAGCTGTGACCCGAGCGGCTTCTAAATCCTTGGCAATAGCAGCAGACGGCACCAGTGTGAGATCGGCAGCTCTGTGTAGAAATTCTGGTGAAATATTGTTCAATTTTTTTTTTATAACTAATCCACAACATCCGAAAAAATAAAAAATAAAAAAAAATCGGGAATTTGATAGATGCCTTTGCACTTACTTATGATTAACCACATTGGTTTGACTAGCCAGCTAAATGTATATCTTGGTATATATCTGTTGAAGAAATTTTCAATTTTTTCCATTAAGCTCTTCAGATGAAAGTTATTCGATTATTTAAAATTAAGAATCCGAGAGCAGAAGAGAGTTTAAACATACACAGGGACATGAGTGTGATATGACATCACTATAGGCACACTTAGCAATTTGGCAATGATGAGAGCACCAAATACCTGCATGATAATGTGATTCCATAAAACAAGAAAATTCATTTTTTTTTTTTAAGGATTCATTTTGTAATGGAGATGACATATTTTACCATTATGCCCGGTGATGATGCGTGTATTATATCGGGCTTGAATCGAGCAACTGCTGATATTATTCTCGGGCTCAGTGCTAGGGAAAGCGGTACCTTTTGGTACCACGGGCAAGGGAAACTGCATAGAAAATTATGATATGGTGTTTGTACTTTGTATACGTGTAGCTAAATCAAAGTCGCAATCATTAATCATTTTTCATAATAATGAAAGAACTATATCACAAACCTTCTCGAGCCAATTAGTTGAGCTCCGTAAAATTCCTGAGGCACTCCTTCGTGTGTCGTCACAACCATAACCTAACCCAAAAATTTCAAAATTTTTCAAAATTTCGATTGCTTTGAAACATTTGATCCGAAAATTAGAGTACTACTAACCCAAAATTATTTTTTCAAAATTCAATTGCTTTGAACCCGGAATTTCAAAAATCGATTGGTTCGAAACATTTGATTCGAAAATTAGAAAATGCGGATTCAAATTTCCATCAGCCACAAATATCAGTATTGGTGATCTTTATTAAAAAAAAATACTAAATTTATCACACACCTCATCCCCCATTTCACGTAGATATCTAATGAAATTCTGGAACCTGTTTTTGTATCCAGATACATACCTGCATAATNAAGGACCATAGAATTATGATAACGTGTGATAAATAAAGTACATATTTAACAAGGTCTATAAAATTCAATATATAATTTTGATTGGAAATCATGCAACTGAAAAACTTCAAGAGAATTAATTTTAACTATTAGGCAGCTGTAAGGAGACTAATAATCAAAAACTTTGATTGGAATAATGGGAACAAGTTATGTTGACTAACCAGATTCCCATAACATTGCCTTCAGATGGAAGCATTTGAAGTTAAGGACTTTCAAAGTTTGTGAGACCATTCGGATAATTTTGCAAAATTGTGAAAATAGCTCATTTTAGCAAATGATGGAAAAAACCAACAGAGATCCATCCAGCCATGGGCATATTGTGTCAAATCAGACTGGCTTATTTACGAGTAACTTAGCAAACAAAAAGAAAAATAATCCAAAACTGTTGGGCAAAATGACGATTATGAAAATATAGCATACATGTCTCTGCTAGAACGCGACTTACCGGCTATATATGAAGTGGATAAATGCAATTCCTTAACTACACAGGATTTAGATGAAACAACGACATTCTATTGAACCGAACATCTAATAATCATCGATCGCTAGATAAACTACAAATCTCACCTCTCAAGAACGGAAAACAACTAAATTCTACATATAAGATAAGAAATCTATCAAGTGTATATATGTAACAATGTCTAAAAGTTAGCATAACAACTCTTCTCAAGTAACGAAATGAAAAACCATAGAAACATATCCATAACAACACTTCAACTCATCAAACACATAAGTAGCCAAAACAAGGTAAACACCACAAGACAGCCTCAAACAAGTGATGCAAACAACTCAAATGTAATAATTGTTGCCAAAAATGAGGTAAAAAGGTAAATCAAATAAATAAATAAAGACTCACGCAAAGGGAGAAGGCTCAACAAAGAGAGCAATACGTCTGGGCTTAGAATTCATCTCAGGCTCGAGCAAAGGAGGACTATTTTCCTCCACCCCATTTCTATCTTCTTCATACTCTCTAACAGTCATATTGCTGCTGCTACAGCTAACTACTGTACAGGGTCTTTCGCTGAATACTCTAACCCTCAAGCTTCTCAACAAATTACTCCTTTTTGACATCAAAGATTCGATTTTTACACAAATTGGATAAGTGGGTTTCAAGTTAGAAGGGGGAAAAGGGGATTTACAGGCAAAGAGAGGAGGAGAGAGAGATGGGTTTATGGAGAGAGAAGGGGCCAACATGATGGTTCTGGTTTCAGGCAAACAGTGCCAATGGAATTTTAATTTTTTTTTTTTTGGGGGGGCTTTTTTTGATTCTTTTGGGTTTGGTGTTGTTTTGATAATTAATTGATGCAAGCACTGGGTTATGGATATTCTTTCCAGAGAAGGGAATAATCGGAGGATGAGAGACTATGCTCACAGAGTCGTGTTTTCCAATCAAATGGGGAAGACACTAAGACAGGTGCCATTCTTTAATTTCCCCATATTTGTGGGGTCTCTTTCGTAATATATAAATAATTCCATATTTATAATACCCTATATAATAATTTCAGTATGTGGAAAATTAAGGCATGCTTGTTTATAAAATAATTCATTTCCCACTCAAAATCTAACTCAACTTTAACTCAACCCCACTATCATTTATATTATTTATATAATTAAATATTATAAACCAATCATTCTTACATATCACATCAACTTTAATTCACTATTCATCCACTCACATAATTTTAATTACCTATCATTTCCAATCATTTCCAATCATTTATATCCTACTTTTACATCAAATCATTAATAATCATTTCCAATCATTTATATCCCACTAACAATTAACCATACTACCTTTTTCAAAATTAACTCTAGTTAACTAAAATAACTCATTTTGAATGAAATATTTCATAAACAAGCACGCCCTTATTTTCTGCTTTGAATATATTACCGGTGATTTCCATTGGGTAATAAACTTCAAACTACTCGAATTATCACGATTTATTATATAATTTTTTTTAAACAAATTACTATTTGAGCTATGCGTTTTTTTTCTGTCAGCCCTATACGAAACCATGTTGAAGGTTGTTTTGTTCTAAAAAAGCTGGTTTACAAAGATATTTCAGTAATTATAAAATTTTAAAATTTGCAAAATCGCCACAAGGACGAAAATATATTTTATTTCGAACTTATCTCTTCTCTATTCTATTCTCCAAATTTTATATCACCCCTTCCACAATCAAACACCTAAGCCAGAATACATAAATTCATACACTACAAGAATTCAGATAAATCACTAAGTAAAACAAATCATCCCTTCATCTTGTGATATTAAAATCCAACCATATTCTTAGTCCGGATTGAGATTCAACAGAACTATAGCCGTAAAAGATTGCCGTATATATAACCAAACCATCAATATTCCCTCGACATTTCATATTTCTATATCATACACTGGAGCACAAAAGAAGAATATATACATATTTTAAAAAATAAAATAAATGGATATTCCTAAAGTTATCAAATCGCACCTAGAGCTTCTGATTTCCTAACCGAGTTGCATTTATCGATAACATATATACAACTTTTAGCAAATTTCTTGCAAGAACTCTAATTCGCATTGATTTACTAGGACACTATTCCACCCTCAATTTAAGTACACTAAAAGATATAACCAAAAAAAAAAAAAACATATGCTACCATTGACCTAAAATTGCGAGTCCAAGAAGTCATACTACCATTGTTGTACTGATCAATATTCAAAACCATATGCTAATGTGTCTCTATTATTTCTTCCCTTTGAAGATTGTCGATCTTTGTGGAGTGTAAACAGGAATTGACAAAACTTACTCAGTGCAAAACAAAATCTTGGCCACTTTGGAGATCTTGAATAAAAGGTAATTTCTTCATTTTATCACTATAAAAATAGTACAATGAAGACAAAAGATGAATGGTTATTTTAAATTAAAAAAAAAAATGAAAATGATAAAAGAGAGCATTTCTAAGCTTCTAAAGCATATTTTCCAGACTCTCCGACATGCACAGAAGACCTTACGAAAACCTATCACCATATTCTGGTAAGATAAAGACTACGTATGCGAAATAGTTCAACACTAGAAGCACTCGACAAATTCTATACGTACAAACCCCAAATACTTGCAATTAAGGACTTGATATTTTGATGATTTGCAAGGACTACAACAATGTTTCCGTACAACTTTTTCGCGCAATTATTACCAATTGTGCCGCGAACAAAAGTAAAATATGTACATGCACTAGTGAAAAATCTCTCCAATTTACTAGCTCCCGTAAATCAGATACCACTTCTTTCTTCCAACCCGAACCTTGTTAACCTTCTTGAAACTGAAAAATACATAGTATTTTCCCATCAATTTTCTGCTGCGTGAAGAAGTAGTCAAGAAGGAGAAACTAGTTTAAATCAAGAGAATCACTCGAGCCTCGTGTGTTCATTAAAAACACATAATGATAGGTCGAAAAATATGCATGTTTTATATTTTTAATAATGTATTCTTATACACTTAATTTATTCAAATGTTTATATTTTTTGATTTATTTATAATTTAAATTAATTCATATATTTTGATATTTTATTATCTATTTTTAGCAACTTGAAGAATATTAGGGATGTCAATAAAGAGAAGCAATATTGATTGGGTAATTGAATTTTGACCCGAAATGTGATTACTGGGGCCAAAAGAAAATGCAATAATTGGGACCAAAAGAGGTCATACAAACTTTGGGGCGTGAGAGTCATTTGCAAGGGCAATTATTTGGTTTGGACTGAAAGGAAATACACTCACGCATTTGGAGACTTTGAGGGACTTTTATTTGGCTGGGAGGATTATTTGAATAAAGAGTCCCATTTTACTTTATGCCATGGGATTGTATTGGATTGGACACATTTATTTCACCCACTTTACACATCATTATTTATTCAATGTTTACAAAACATGATGCATTTAAAGGTAAAAACAATCAAATATTTACTAATTTGGACAAAATGATATAAAAAAATAGCACAAGACAAATATACTCTCATCTCCTACACACAAAACATTAGATCTTCCCCCTATTTCGACCCTAAAATTAAATTATAAATATATTCTACAGATTAATAATTTTTAAATTTATTACAAAGTTCTTATATATTATATATCAAATCAATAATCTCATGTTGATCTTCGATTTGACATTTATATTGTACATACAGTATAAATAAATTATTACATTTATTATAATAAGAATTAAATAATCTATTAATATTATTTCAAAAAAATAAAATTGTTAAATTAATATTTATTATAAAATAATTATTTTAAATTAATACTTGTAAGGAGGGGTTTTCGGCGAATCGTTTGATTCTTGTCGGCGTATCGTCCGATTCCTGGCTTTTCCCTTCTATGCGTAAGCTTTCTGGTCCGAAAAAGGAAAACGATACTCCATTGGCGAATCATCTTATTTTTCGACGAATCGTATGCATATTATATAAGTGATTTCTTTGTTATCCTTGTCTGACAGGTATCTCTTTAAATAATATTTTTTTAACTGATGGATTGGTACCAGACTTGCAATGAATTCCACCTTTTGTTAAGGGTGCAGGGTTCGAGTCTAGGGCAAAAAAACCACAGAATGTCTCAAGATGGGTTCTCACCCTACGGCAGGAGCGCTATGGAAGACCGTGAGTCCCGTGCAAGGCAACAACCTACCGGGGACCGACGCCCCGGCAAGGCAAAAAAACTTACCGGGAGAAAGACTGACATAAAACTATCGTCAACAAAAAGGGCTAAATAACATTATTTAAATTAATATTTTTAAATTAAATAATATTATCTTAAATTCAATAAAATTATTTTAAAAAATAATATTTGTAAATTAATATTTTTAATTAAATATAATTATTTAAATTAATATTTTTTATATTAAATAAGATTAATAAATTATTTAAATTAAATAAAATTATTTAAACTAAATAATATTTTTTAAATTAAATAATATTATTTTAAATTAAATAAAATTATTTAAATTAAATAATATTTTTTATTACAAAATAGTCATTTCATTAATAGGATAAAAATATCCCACATATTTGATGGGATTGAATTATATGGTCACTGTTTGTCCAATTTTTGTTGCGTTTTTCCTTATTATTTTTCCTTTCTTTTTCCCCCATATTAGGTCTTTTAGTTAGTTTTTATCTCGTTTTGTAGTTTATCGCGTGTTTTACTCTATCTTGGTTTTTCTTGTGTTTTCCGTATGTTTTTCCGGTTTTTCTTCGTTTATGGTGTGTAGGTCGAAAGCTTCGGGAAGATCGAATTTTTGGTAAAAGTCAGTCGGGAAAGCATAAGTAGATAGAAGAGTTCGTCGGCGTCACACAGGAAAAAACGGAACTCAATTCCGAGTTCAGACGAATTCGAACGGGGCTGAAACGTAAAGTCCAGCAAGCTGCCGACCGTTTGAAGGTTGGAAAACTCTAGAGGATTGTACAATTGGCAAAATCTGGTCATGAAAGCATCATTGAATAGAGGGGTTCGTGAGCGACGTGTAGGAAAAAACGGAACTCAATTCCGAGTTCGGACGAGCCCAAACGAGCCCGAGACGTGAAGAAGTGCAAGCTGCCCAGGCCCCGCGCGCGCCCCGCGCCGCGACACCTGTCCTCGCCGCGCCGCGGCAGCACCGCGACCCGAACTGCAGCTCCCAGCCTTCAGCGCGCGCCCGTGAAGACCTGCCGCGCCGCGGCCAAGTGCCCTGCTTCGCCGTGTCGCGCCTTCCTCACGCCATGGCCGACTTTTCTTATAAATATGTGTACGGGAACTCGTTTTATACATTCTCCTTTTCTGGGAGACGAACCCTAGGCCCGTAAAAATACAAGAACTCCATTTCTCATTCTCTCCTTCTTCTCCATCGTTTTTCCTCTTCTCTTCACCATTCGTTTTCATTTTTTTTTTCTTCTTCTTAATAATTAGGATTAAGCTTGTAACTTGGATTCAACTCTTGAAATTGGATTGATTGTAAGTTTTTCATCTTGTTTAATTCATGAGAATGATTATTTGGGGTGAATTGCTTAAATGTGTTGAATTCATGATACATAGCTAATTTTGATTGCTAGGGATAGGGAATAATTGTTCATGTTTCACGTGTATTTGTCGGGCTAAAATTGTTCATGCTTATGTGAGTTAATTTTGATTAGGAGTTGATGAAATTATGCTTGATAGTTTGATGTAATCGAAGGGTGACACTTCGATCTTGCAATTGGTAAAAATTGGATATTGAGTTATCGAGTTTGGTTTTGTTGATTCTCGATAATTAGTTGATTAAACACCTTCTAATTGAATTAGCGGCTTTTA